ACAATGCAGACATGTGGAAGTCCTGCAATAGGGTCCCCTTAGCGCTTTCTGGGGAGTCACAGGTGTAAGAATCAGGCCAGCCCTCTACCACTTCTCCGGATACTCGGCCTATGTTTTTGACAAATTCTCTCAGCTCACATGTACATCGGAATGGGTTGTTCCCTGCTGTTATGGACCTAATCTTCTGACAGCTCTGGAAGAAATCTGCTGAAGGTTGGGAAACTGAATTATGCTCAATAACCAGCACAGAGAGGCTGATGAAGGCCTCACATCCAGGAAGGTCCGTTAAAGAATTGGATGCAACGTTGAGTTCCTGCAAATCTTCTAACTTAATGATTTTTTGAGGGATGCTCATTATTCTGTTGTTGTGAAGGTCAAGGACCTTGACCTTGGGAGGCAAGCATCTGAAGACAGAATCAGTAAGTACATTCGAAGACAAATTTAGCACCAATATGCTGTCAGCCCAAGTGCATGTTCCTTCGTATGCACCAGAGTCCAAGGAATTCAGACTAACGTCCAGAGTTGCCAGAGAGGACATATTCTTAGTCATAAGACCTACCTTGAAAAGGCTCTTCAAGCCGTTCTTTTGTAGGATAAGTGTCTCCAATTTCTTTAAGGTGGAGCAGCCTTGGAAAACACTGTCGGTGAAAACATTCTGGCTGAAGTTCAGAAACACAAACATGCTTGGGGACGGAGGGCAGAGCATGTGGATGAACGGTGTGTCTGAGATGGTCAGCTTCCCGATGTTCATCTCAGCAAACACCGAGTACAGTGCATCCTTTGAAAAGATGAACACCTCATTTGTCACGTGCTCGATTGTCAATGCCTTCAGTACCGTGTCGGAGTAAATAAAAATTTCGCTATTAATGCTCTCAACTATCGTTAAGTTGTAAATGTTGAGGTACTCCACTGGTCTGGGCCAAAGGAACTGGAAAAGTTCAACCAAGCATTTCCAGGTTGTTTCCATGTGGTGGAGAGTCAGATTTAATAAGGTTGGACCTCTGGTGAGTTCTGATAAAAACATAATTAACCTTTGACAGTTTCCATTATTCAATTTAATATTACTCAGTTGTAAACATCCCAAGGCATTCACAGATATGTTCACCTCCGCAGAGAACAAGCTATTTGGATGGAAGACCAAGTGGAGAGCCTCGGTGTTCAGAACCTGAAGACTTTCTCTCTCGCCGTCTTTTCCATGATAACCCACTAAGTCCAGAAGAATGTAGCTTAGGTGCAAGTGAGCAATCGGCAGCAGATCCAGGGTTTGGAACTTCGTAGCACTTAATCCCAAGAAACTCAGCTTCGTCAAGTTGCCAAATTCTTTACACACAGGCAGCACGTCAAAGTCATTAGATGAGAGGTCTAAATGCTTCAAGCTCACCACAGGATGGCAAGAGATGCTCCGCAACTGATTGTGGGAGACATCCAGGTATTCTAAATCTGGGTTGAACTTGAACACACCGAAATCAAGTCTCTGGATCCTGTTATGGGAGAGTCTCAGAGCCCTCAGCTCTGGCAGGAAGCTGACGTCGGACACCTGAAGCTCCAGTATAGAGTTTTGAGACAGATTTAAGGCTTTTGTTCTTGGTGGCAGGTCTTTGGGGACATGAGTAAGGTTCCTGTTTGAATAGTCTACCGCGAACTCAAGTGACTCAGAGAACTGGATCATGCTTCTGACTATGAAGGCCAGGATGCAAAGGAAATGAAAACTTCCCAGAACAGGTTCTCTGTCTCGGGTCATGTCGCAACCGCTATCCCAAAGGGTCCTTACCATTTTCTCCACAGCATTTTTACTTGGGTTCAAGCTCTAGAAGTAAGAGAGACTTTAAGATGAATAAAGATTAGGTAATGCCTTTTAAGCTTCCATTTCCCAGAATCCCAAGTGCCTTCTTTATCCACTCCAGCATTCATCACTATCCCATGTTTTTATGAAGTATTTTCTCAGTCTGTGGCTAGAGGGGACAATATGAACTTTTAGTGATTATGTGTCTTGACTAGTGTGGGGGCTTCCAAATGGATTCTTGGGAGGGTTTGCCTTGGTTTCACAACCAAAACTCTCTCAGGGCTAGAACAGCCTCCTGGGTGGTGTTTGTCAAAAAAAAAAATTTGAAGACCCAATACAGGAGCTGCAGCCACCTGAGCCAGAGGTAACAGAGCAGCAGACACAGAGGCTCATTCCATTTGTCCTTTTGATGCCAGAGACTTATTTTTAGTCTCTGGATCTCACCTTTTGACACAGGTTTCATAAACAGGAGTATGTATTTCTCCAACAACTACTAGCCTAGGAGCTGCAGACGGAAGGAAATGAGATTCAGAGACTTGGAAGTTCTTGCAGTTAACACAAAATGGGGGAAGAGAGGAACTGTGTCAAAGCACGTGAGAAAAGCCAGCCACAGTGATGCAGGATGATCTCTGCCCTAGAAAAGCCCAGGCAAGGGGATTGAGAGTTTTCAGTCAGCCTTGGCTACATAGGGATAGCATGTTTCATGAAGAAAAGATAAAGCACATGGAAGAATCTAGAAGGTGTGTGAGGCTAAAGTACGTCAGCAATAACTATTTTTTTCAGAGCCCAGAAGGTGTCACATGCATCACATCAGGTCACAAACCCTGACGTACATATCAGTGACATCGAGTAATGCGAAAAGATTACCTGAATGAGACATGGAGGAAGGTGCACAAGCCCACAGACCTCATGTTTCACTGAGGACGAATGGCTGAGACAACCTGGCCGGCTCCACCTTCGGGTTCTGTTTTATACATAAAATTTTTTGTGAGCTTGGGGCACAAAAGCAGGCATTTCTTAAATAGAGGCTTGGATTGCAGAGTAACCGGGAGAAGACTTCATCCAGCAACCAATGGGAGCAGATGTGGAGACCCCGAGCCAAACATGAGGCAGAGCTCAGGGAACCCTGTGGGAGAAGGGGAGGAAGGATGGTTAGAGCCAGAGGGGTCAGGACACCAGGAGAACAAGGTTCACAGACTCAACTAAGCAAGGCTCACAGGGGCTCACAGAGACTGAAGCCACAATCAGGGAGCCTGCATGGCCCTGAGCTAGATCCCCTGCATCTATGGTACGGTTGTGTAGTTTGGTGTTCTTGTGGGAATCCTAACAGTGGGAGTGGGGGTTGTCTCTGACTCTTTTGCCTGCTCCTGGGACCCTTTTCCTCCTATCGGGCTGCTTGGTCCAGCCTTGATATGAGGATATGTGCCTCATCCTAGTGTAACTTGTTATGCCATTAAATGGAGCAGGAATGGTTCCGGGGGAGAGGGGAGGCTTGGGGGAGGGGCTGGGAGGAGTGGAGGGAGGGGAAACTGTGGCTAGGATGTAATATATGAGAGAAGAAATTTTTTTTTTTTTTTTTTGGTTTTTCGAGACAGGGTTTCTCTGTGTAGCTTTGCGCCTCTCCTGGGACTCACTTGGTAGTCCAGGCTGGCCTCGAACTCACAGAGATCCTCCTGGCTCTGCCTCCCGAGTGCTGGGATTAAAGGCGTGCGCCACCACCGCCCGGCTCCGAGAGAAGAAATTTTTAAAAAAGGTTAGTGTGAAACACGGAGTGGGGGGAAGATGGTCATTATACAACTACAGTAACAATTCAAAAATACATATGCACATAGGCAAAGATGAAGACACAGTGACTGATTGTGTATGGTCAAATTATAAAGGAGTTTGTCTTATTCTTAAATTTTACTTGTATTTTTCACATTTTCAAAATTCAAAATTAACATATTCTTTCCTCAAATAATCTACAAAAATATTAATATCCTATAGTGTGAATAAAGTCCAGTATCACAAGACAGAAAATGCACATTAACCAAATAGCGTATGGTTATCTAAGTGAGACTTCTGAGCCTGAATTAGAACTTGATTCAGATGGATTCACTGTGAAAGATGTTTAAGGGAGTGACAATAAGAAGGACCAGGCATTAGACACTCTGAAGACACAAATGGCAGACCAGTGAAGTGCTTCGCTGAATAGAATGAGCATAAGAAAAAAAATGTCCTTTAGACATGTAAAAACAGCTTAGTCAGGAAACCCCAGACACTGTCCCTAAGGCTGTACCTGATAACCAGAGCCTAGTCATTTCACTCACTCAAGGTAACCAGACACGGTCCTGGAACCCCATGATGCCCACTGGGCAGTATATAAGTAGAGACACCACCTTGATCTGCCCAGCAGCTGGAGAGTCTTCCTCAAGATCCTGACCCTTGAATTAGAGACTTCTGCTAGAGACTGGACCTGACCTTCAGCTACGATATGTCACACAGGTGAGCAGCCTTAGGGAGACAGGCTTGGGACCATAGTTAGGAATTTAGAGTGTAGCCTTGTACGATGGCCCTCGGCATAATAAACTATAACTTTTGTTATACTAACTACGGGTATCAACCTTCTTGTTTGTGACGGTGAGCAAAGGCACTCGCTGCCAAGTCCGACAGCCTGAGTTCAGTCCCTGGGACCTGCATGGTGAAAGCAGAGAACCAATTCCCCAAAGTTGTTCTCTGACATCCATACCTATGCCATGGCATGTGGACACATGAATAAATACACACACACACACACACACACACACACACACACATGCGTGTGCTCGCACGCACACAAACACATAAACAAACCAACAAACATATAAAAAATTGGGGGAGAGGGATATGGTGACACACTCCTGTAATACCAGCATCTAGAAGGCAGAGGCAGGAGGATCAGAAATTCAAAGTCATCCTCGGCTACATCGGAAGAAAGAAAGAGAGAGAGAGAGGAAGAGGGAGGAAGGGAGGGAGGGAGGGAAGAAAGAAAGAAGGAAAGAGAAAGAAAGAAAGAAAGAAAAAAAGAAAGAAAGAAAGAAAGAAGAAAGAAAGGTTACTTTTAATAATATTATTGGCTAAGTAGGAACATATACTTTTATTTAAAGACACAGAATAAACATTTTGCAATAAAATGTCAGAAGTTGTCTAACTTGTTTTTTTACATATTTAAGCACAAGATAAAAGTGAGTCAAGGGAGAATATTCCTTAAAAGATTTCTTTAAGTGGGGCTGTTTCTCATCTGCCAAATCCAGAAAAATGCAGAGACAAAGCACCCAACATCAGTAGTGGGAACTACGAGAATGACTCTCAGTTACTACTCAGGCAGGAAAGAGAAATTAGTACCATTTTATTGGGTGATGATAATTTATGCAAATTCTTTTAAAATATGCCTCTCTCTATGTTGGCAATCCTACTGCTAAGCAATCACTGAAATCTCACAAAGGTAAGATTATGGGAATGCTCATGATGTGATGAAAATTGAAAAGATAAGAATGGCTAGTGTAGAAAGCGATAACTCGTTCATAACTTGGCACAACACACAGCTTCAGATACTGCATTAAAAAAAAATCCTGCAAGCCGGGTGGTGGTGGCGCACACCTTTAGTCCCAGCAGTCTGGAAGCAGAGGCAGGTGGATCTCTGTGAGTTCATAGCCACTCTGGTCTACAGAGTGAGTTCCAGGACAGCTAGGGCTACACAGAAAAACCCTGTCTCAAAAAACAAACAAGCAAACAAACAAAATCCTGCAATATAACATCAAGTGAGTGGAAGGTTACCAAACTGCATATGTACCGAGAGTCTAATTGTAAAAATGCAAATTATAACTTGGCACACACAAAACCTAGGGGGGGTGGAAATTATGCCAAATGCTAATGGTAGTTATGTCCAAATCATAGCTTTAGTTTTCTTATACTTTCAAGTATTTCTAAAATTTCAAAAATTTAACATCTTTTATAATTTCAGAATAGCATCTTACAGTCATGTAAAAGTTGTTTTGAAGGATCCCAGCATGGAGAGGGGAGGTGGTCATAAAGTCCCCCCTCTAGCTGAGGAACTCCTGGCAATTGACAGCTGTTGGGGGAGGGGGAGGAGGAGGGTCAGTTTTCTTTCAGGGTGGAGCCCTTAGTAGGTCTGATGAGCTCCAATGGAGCTCAAGGTCACGTGCCCAAGAGTATATGGACAGCACAAATTGGACTTGATGGGTTGAGGAGGAAAACAGAAGACTCTAAGGTGGGTGGGTAGGGGAGAGGGGTGGAGCAGGAAAGAGTTGGGAGGGTGAATACAATCAAAATACAGTGCATGAAATTCTCAAAGAACTAATGAATTAGAAAAATTTTAAATCCACTTGAGATATACAACTTGTGTCAAGTTATGAATGAGTTGTCGCTTTCTACACTAGCCATTCTTATCTTTTCAGTTTTCATCACATCACGAGCATTCCCATAATCTCACCTTTGTGAGATCCTCTAATGACCCCTTCAGTGATTGCTCGGCAGTGGGACTGCCAACATAAAGAGAGGCGTATTTTAAAATGAAAATTTCACACATAAATAAGCTTGCTTGTATTATTTATAGTATTAATACACACATAAAGGGGGCCAACCTCTTCAACACAATGGTAGAGAGCTGATATTCACGGATGAAGTCCCATCCTACAAATTCCTCTGATAGCTTGTGTGTCTTGTCCAGAGGACTGTCATTCAGCCACCATGTGGCCATAAGGACACATATCAGTCCTGGAGGTTGCTCAAAACCTCAAGCAGTTCTTAGTACACGTTCTGAGAAGCAGTCCCGAACCTCAGTGAATGCGTAGTTGAGGGGGTGGGACAGAGGGACGATATCACTGGAAATTCAAGAGTTTATGTTTTTAAAAGGGAGTCTGAGGGGACAGGAGTGAGAGTTGAATACAGCAAACAAAAAGTGAAAGAAAAAAAAAGAACAGTCAACACGACTCCTATTTCAAAACCAGAAAAGGTGGCGGGTGGAGGGAGTCGCTGTGAAAATTCGAGCTATGAGAAGCAGAAGGGTAGTTAATAGCCATAAGCAAAGGCGTGCATGAGAAGAGCTTTGTCGTTAAGTCCGTCAAACTTTGGGCGGAGGAAGAGTGCTGGACTCAAGTTACGGAGTGTGGGAATCTGGTCTCAGTCACTTCCAACCACTTAAACAATGTTTGTTCCGAGTCCCCTTTGGACACGGGGCACGGTGGGAACTAGGGATGGGGATATGAAATCGCATGGGAGTGACTGAAATAGTCTTTCCTCCAAAATGCTCATGAATCAGTGAGAGGTGCCGAGCAATTAGAGATCATAGCACCACGTGACTGGGAAATGAAACACTGTTTCCATACATCCAGCGCAGACAGTATGATGTCAGGACCACAAAGGACTACAGACTTCGTGAAAGGAGAAAACAGCCCCAAACCCCGGGGTGTGGGGGACAGACAGACGGGGG